CTGTATGTGTGAATGGATGGGTAGTAGGAAATGACTTTCACTATCACTTCCATACAGTTAGTCTCCAATTTCCAAGGGAACCAAACTTTCCATTGTTAAGACATGTGATCATAAAGTGTGACATCTTGTATCTACATTATTTATCAATGACAATCCAAGCAGCCCTAGTTGCCACCATTACCTCAAGATGTGTGGTTCATTAAGTGGAAAAACTTATTTGAGTAATTTGTGATCTTCCCTAATGGCTTCCCAATTATTTTGCTTGTTGGAAGCTGCCAGGGAAAGTCACAAATTGCAATCATGTTATGATTGTGATTGATCATACATGTAAGCTGGTTGTCAGGTTCCCAGATTTTTGTTCATGTGACAAGTTGTAAGTCCCTTTGTTCAGTTCTGTCATAACTTTGGACACTTGCTGAAAAAATGAATGTTAAACAGGGACTTTCTCTACTGCTAACATTCTGAAGCTGCCGCTGCCATTCAAATGGCTAGATTTGAGAGCTGATTCTCAAACTGAGAAGATTAGAAGCCATTTCTGAAACAATCATAAGGTGCAGTCTGACCATTGTTCACTTTTGAGGCAAGCTCACTTTTCTTTACAGTGAGACCATGTGTGAAGCAGAAATTATCATCTGTAATTTGCTTAGTTAGATATGTTTCTTATTTGAAAGTAGACAACAGATTGAAATTATTATGTTGTTACTTTAACTCATTTCTTAATTTTTATTAGCTATAAATCAGTCTTATCCTTGAGATTAATTGCTTTCATTCTACACTGTTAGCAGCAACCTAAGATATAAATTTAAATATGAGATTTTCACTGCTAGTATGGAGTATTGCCCAGACTTGGTCATAAGGTTCCTTTGAAACAGTTTTTTCCTACCAATTTCAATAACTGAAGTAAATTACCTTTTCTGTGATAAATCTTCAAATGTTTTGCCCCCAATTTCCCCAGAATCTTTTTCATTATCCATTCAAGTTTGCTGGCTGCAATAACATTCTAGCATTTATTTTCCCAAACAAAAATTCAAAATGTGGATCCAATTTGATGTGATTAAGATGTTAGTCTAAAAAGACATGAGCTCTAGTCCAGCCTTAGGCATGAAAAATATTTTGTGTATTTTGTGTTCAGTAGTGATAAGCTATCTAGCTTTAAATCTTGGTTCTCTTCCCCAGGTTCTTTGGCATGGTTGGACAAGAAGCCACAGGAAAGGAAATAGCCAGAGAGAATACTTCCTTTACTATCATTTTCTCATCCCACTTGCAGAAATAGATAACTGATCAGAAAAGTTCTAGGAATCTTCTGCCAAGAAAGTGTTCCTTATCTTATCTCTCACCTCTTTTAGTTCTAAATCTAGAATGAACCTGTATTTTGCATTGTTGGCAAGACAAAATATGGAATGTGCTCTGCACAGCATAAAGCCAGCATATTTTTATACCAGCTTCTGCAGAGATTAATAGAAGAGCTCTCAGACAGTTAATGAATGTGCCAATTGTGTACAAGATGAAGAAACTCTGCTTCTGATCCTGAAACATTTATTGTTATAAGTACTCAACCAAAACTGAGCCCAAAATTTATTTTGCTAAATTAGACATTTGTTAAAATGAGTTTTGTTCAATTTTATAACTTTTCTTGCCACATTTGTTAAGTGAATCACTGTAGGTATTAACTGTTAAGTTAGTAACACATTAACAGTTGTTATGTGACCTCCTGATTGACTTTGCAAAAGGTGATCATGAGACTCTTATGACTGCAACCATCATAAATATTAACCAGTTGCCAAGCTTCCAAATGTTGATCATATGGTCATGGGATGCTGCAACAGCTATAAGTGTGAAAACAGTCATAAGCCACTTTTTTCAGTGGCATAACTTCAAAACAGTCATTAAACAAATGGTTGTAAGTCAAGGACTACCTGTAAATTACTTTTTAACAATATTGGGATTATGTATTATAGTAATGGCACAATTTATTTCAATTTTACATTGCTGTGTAGGAAGTTAGTTCTTCCATATTACTTTCTTTAATATGTTCCAATGGAAAGTACATAACAATGGCCTAAATAGTTATTGGAAACTAGAATGTGAAAATTGTCACTATAGGACTGGATATTCGAATTTTTTAATTATGTCTTCTGATTGGTTACATTAAATCCCTGGAAATAAGAACCTAAAGGAATAAATGACTCCCAATTTCACATCAGCATTACATAAGAATCACACAGTGATTCTTTTCAATGTTAGTATAAACTCCCAATATTTTGGCAAGTGTGCTAAGTCTGAATTTTAGTGTATGGCAGTATGCTCTGATCATGACTGAAATATAATTTGAAATGTAATGAAATATGTGACCCAAAAGACCTAGAGGGAAAAATTAATCTTTCAATGAAAGATGTAAGGTTAAAACATTCTGAAAAGATTTGGACACATTTCTCTCCAGTGATTCTGTTGTCAACATTTGCTTTGTCACATTCTGTTTTTATATACTGTTGAAAAAAGAACATTCTGAGCTTTTTATCCAGGAAAGACATAATAACATAATAACTTCTGTACTATGCATGAATAACTTCATATGACTGAATCAGGTAAAGCTTTCTCTCTCTCTCTTTTTCCATCCATCTTTAGAGAGACATAGAAGCAAAACACCTCTAGAATTGTTACACAGCTAATATACTGTGTATTGTGTTTAATATAAAATTAATATAGTCTAAAATTAAGCAGTTATATTTCTAAGTTTCAAAAGAAAATGTTTGATGTAGCTCTCAAAGCAGTAAAACATATAAGTATTCTCCATTGTCAGATTTTTTAAAATTATTGCACAAGCTTAACCAAGCTTGTACAAGACTAAAGACAAAAATGATAAAGATTAAAAGCAAAATAAAAAGGAAAGCCTAATAAAAACATTGTGAACTTTTGATAACACATTCTCCGTTTTCCATCCCTATGATTTCCCCCCAATCACTAACTGCTGTTGAAATTGAATAATTAAGATTATTTCTAGTATCTGATTAAATCACATTACCTGTGAAATTAGTCTTGTGCTTTAATCATGTTTTAAATATAAAAAATTATCTTACTTTGTAAAGTGTCATATATAAGTGAGCCATCTGTTTATCAAGTATGGAATGGATGTGGATGAAAAAATACTAATATACCAGTAGTTTTGAAATAATAACACCTTCACTGTCATTGTTGAATATCTATTTTTATGAAGATGAAAAAGTCAAGAAATTTGCTAGTGGGGAATATCTAATTCCAAGATTCCAAGATTTTATTTTTAACAGTATAAAGGTAGAAACTCTTTACGTTGCTAAAGCACTGACTTAATTGGTTCCAAAATCTTGAAATAAATAATGCAGTGATATATGAATTATACAGGCAAGAGAGATTAACTGATTTTAAAATCATATGATTGAATTGAATTATTTATTGTCATGGTACATATATACACAGTATACATACAATGAAATTCACATAACACCCAGAGACCAGACCCAACACACATACACACATGACAATCCCCATACACCTCACACCTGCAAAAATTTTCCACCTTGTAATATAATCTGTATAATTGAATATTTGTAAGGCACAAATTATTAGAGAAGCACAACTGTTTTGTCAAAAATTGTAATGATTACATGGATGAAGAATTAGAATATAGTCAGAGGGTGCAACAACATTCCAATGGAAGAACTCTGTGTCATATGGAAATAAATTTGAACAATTGGCATAACGTGTTTTACCATAGATCACTTCAATCTTGATTTCTAACATGAATAATTATTTTTTCTAAGAAATATTGGAAACATTGGAAGCACATGGAACCTTTTAAAAACAATATGGTAGTGGTAATGTTATAAAGCTCAAAACTATTGGAAAACGATTGTAGAATTGGACATACGTTAAACCTTGTAATCCTATTATAACTAAGAAGTTGTGACTACATTGAATTAAACATAATCCCTTCAAAAACACTCAGCACTGTGCGTGTAGGTGTAATTATTACTATTATAAAATAGGCCTTTTTATTTATCTCTGATTCTTTCTTCAAAAGAATTGTTAATTAAATTGTGGGTGTATGACTTTTACAACATCAACAATAATAAAATTGATTCAATATATGTGCTACATATGCTCCCAGGATTCTGAGCAGTTTACAATTGTTAAAAACATGTTAAAACAAAGAAACGTCATCAACAACAAATAAATATGGCAGAAATGACATTAACCAAACAATAAAAACTAAAAAAAGAGTTTCAATCATCCTTGCTAAAGGCTTGGGCATAATAATTGATGGAATTGTATACTATATATAGAACATTTTATATCAATTTTTCTTTGGGTTATATCTTGGTACAATTTTATAGTCCATAATTCTTTCCATTGTTGTGTTGTAACTATTCCTTTAAAAATTTATATCCATTTTATCATAAAGGTTTTTTGTGTGTTCTATCTCTGTGGCATATGGAAATAAAAGTTTGTATATATACCATAATAGATGTATGATTTAATTATACATATAATTTATAGTATTGATTTAATTATGTTTGCTATCAACAGTCTTTTTTTAAGTGATTTGAACTGAGTTAATCAAGCACATCAAGGGACACATGAGTTTTGATTAGAAAATAGATTGGAAAAATCTTATATTATAATAACTTTTATTTGAATATGTAATCATGAAATGGGAGAAAAAAATGTTTCATTGTCAGATAGATCATAACCAAAACAGGACCTACACAATTTCATTATAAATGCAATAACACATGCGTGTAAAGTTTTTGTGGTATTGAAAATGCTGAAGGAAAAAAGTGTAATTCATATTTTTTTATCAAATTGTGGTTGAAAAAGAATTCATTGTATGATTTAGCAAAGAAATATATTGATAATATATTGATGTATTGAATTAAAATGAACTGTTTCCATTAAACTGCAAAACTAGTCTGAAGTTATTATGTTTCTTTCTTTTTTTGTCCTGCAGATCATAGTAAAGAGGGATGAACAACCTCACTTTTACTTCCTTCCTGCTTTTTGAATTCTCAGTTATCAGGAATCTTCAGATTCTGTACTTCTTTATTTTTCTAGCTTTATATATGATAACTCTAATTGGGAATCTCCTCATCACTGCTGCTGTAGCTATTGATTATCATCTTCATACACCAATGTACTTCTTCCTCATGAACTTGGCCATGACAGACCTTGGCATTGTTTCTGTTACTATTCCAAAATTAATGACTAATTACCTCATGAGTAGCAGGTCAATATCTTATTCTGGGTGTGTGGCTCAGGTATTTTTCTACCTTTTTTTTGCAACCTGTGATTTTACCCTTCTAATAGTAATGGCTCATGATCGCCATGTTGCCATCTGCAATCCCCTTCAGTATGAAAAAATAATGCACAAGGGAGCTTGTATTTGCTTGGCAGCTGCAACATGGACCAGTAGTTTGCTTAATGCCACAATACAAACTGGCACCACCTTTGCAACTATCTTTTGTTCCAATTATATCAAGCAGTTTTTTTGTGAAATCCCACAGCTATTAAAACTTTCTTGTTGTAATTGTTATCTCCCCGAATTTTGGATTCTTGTCATTGTGGGCATTATTATAATTGTATCATTTATGTATATCATTCTAACTTATGTGAAGATTTTTGCTGCAGTCCTCAGAATCCCTTCAGTCAATGGTCAGAAGAAAGCTCTCTCTACTTGCCTACCACACCTTGTTGTTATATCTGTATTTATGTTTAGTGGATTATTTACCTATGGAAGGACTTATATTGAGGATTCGTGCAGCTCAAATGTAATTTTTTCAGTGTTGTATACTATAATTCCTCCTATGTTGAATCAATTTATCTATAGTGTAAGAAACAAAGAGATCAAGGCTGCTTTGTATAAATGGTTACATCTTGATTTTTTAATCTAGATTTCTCTAATCTAGATTTCCTACATTCTACTAAACTGAATGTAAATGATTTTCCTACAATTAGTGACATTGCATAAAAAATATTGCAGAATTCAAAGCATTGATTTGTGTTCAATTTTCATTCAGATCTCCCCTCTCCCATCATGATCTCTGCTGATTTTGAATTCATAAGCAGTTTTTATAATCATTTTTTTGAAGTGCATACCTCTCTTACGGTTTTATTTATGGGGTAAGATTTATACTTTATTTATGGATATTTCCTTCACCTTTATTATATTATTGTGCAAATTATTTATCCAATTTTCTGGCTTTCCATTATTTTAATACAAAGAAGCTACAAATTAAGGCATGTGTTTGTTTCCCTCAAGAGAATTGTACAACAAATTAAAATTGATTTCTGTGTGCTTATTACAATATGGTAATTAATAAATCAAAATAAAACTGACTTGTGAGTGCATATTAACATAATTAGCCTTTAGCCTATAGCTACCTCCAAATGCTCCAGTATCAGTTATCATGTTGGATAATAATATTTCAGATTGTTAACAGAGTTTGAGTTGCAGTCATATAAGCACTATGTATCTGTGCTTGCCATGCATGGCACATGGACAAATAAACCTCCCATAAGTGACTACTATTTGATGCCTCCATAAATTAAAACAGAAAAGTATTAATTAGGCAATATGTATATTTATGTAGAAAGATATAAAATAACATATGGTTCTGTGTAAAAAAATATGAAAACAAAACATCAGAACTAGAAGAAATTATACTACTTGCTCTAATTGGCTCCAGATTATTGATTCCAAGAAGAGAAAGTTAAAAAAAATATCAGAAATAATAATTTTCCATCACCTTTTTTCAAATACCTCATCGTAGCTTCCCAAACCTGGGTAAATTGCACAAAATCAGGTAAAAGCATTTTTAAGCCATTATCCATTATCCAATCACAACATGGACATTTAAATTTATTTAAAGTGGGTTTTTTAAAATGACCTTTCTTGATAAGAAGTTTTTTTTCTTAATGAAGGAAAAGGTTTAGGCAGCACTGCTTGCAGAGGAATGAAAACATTTTTCCATTGACTGGGGGAAACAGTTTGACATGCTACCTAGATCTCACACATGCGTAGGTGAAGTTTTGCTTGCTTGTATGGTTTAGTTCCTAATATTTTTGTATCTTTCTTCACTAGTCTGTTGTCCATTCAAAATGACCTTGAAAATATTTTACTTAACTTAGACAGACATAACATTTTTATTAATTGCTTCTGTCAATATAGCTTGATGAGATAATTTGAAACGAAGAACAGCTAACATGAAAATGTGAGTGAAATCATTCTTCAAAATCTTTACTCATTCAGGCATCTATATAAAGCTGAAGCCTGCAGGTAAAGTAAAATTCACATTAAAAGTTCAAAACAAATTATTAGCATATAATTTAATCATTTGTAAAATAATGAGCGCAATTATGAAAAAATGCATTGCTTATACAAAGGAAACATTTAAAAAATGGCATATGCTTATTTGATTATTCATTCTTTTACTTTTTTTGTCCATCACAAATCTAAGTTGGGTTATTTAAAAAACAAAAAGAGAGCAATCACATTAAACTAGAAGTGGCATTACATTTAATAATACAATGGAAATGGAAATGGGCAAATAAATTGGCTTTGATCTGTTCCAGAAAGAAAACAGTGGTAACATCATGCCCATTTTCAAGTGGAGGCAAATTAACAATCAAGAAATCATAAAAGAGATGGCCTCTTCTTATATACAATAAAGTATTGTTGGCATTTAATAATCTTACAGAACAGGGGGGGATAATATGTGATGTATTTGTATCCAAAAGTCATTTAGCATTTCAAGAATAACTGTGATTTTGCTGTCATGTTGACTTGGGCTTAAAAGTGAAAAAATACCCAGGATGTTTCCTTTAGTGTGAGTGTGGCCTCAACGTCCTGTATAGCTTATGTTTTTGCATGCTCCATTTTGCACTAGCTTAGAATTTCCATGTTGTCTTTTAAGTCAATCTCATATTGAACAAATTATAGGATTTGTGGGGTCCATGGTGCTCTTCTATAGGATTTTTAATAGGAATTTGAACATTACAGAATAATTATACATGAAAATAAACTGGAACAGATGTTGATTTTTTTAAAAAAAATTCTAATGCGGTCAATCAATTTTACTATGAAATTCCACAATTGCTAAATCTATCCTGCTGTAGATCTCATTGATCTTTCTAATTCCAGCTACATTTGAAGATATACATATATAATATGTGGCATTGGCATCATAGTTCTGCTGTAAATGTGATTACATTTGCGCCCATTTATGGACCTTGCTGCCTTTGTTTTTACCTGCTTAGCTAAGCATATGTATCTTCTACTTCGGAGTACGTGCCCTGCCTTTCCAATAATATGTTAATATTTTCTTCATTTTCGGTTATGTTTTTATTCCCTTCTAACCAGCCAAAACTGTGCAATAGTCAGGTAAAGAGAGAGGGTTGATCACCTTACCAATCTGCCTCTAGGGATATTCTTATTCTTGTATCTTCTGTGTATTTTTTAAAAAAAAACACTTCACTTTGTTATTATTGGAAATGTTCTTTACTTGAATAAAAGATGTTGAATTATGGAAAATATTGAAATCTGTTTTGCCAGATGGGCTATGGATGGATTCTTCTGGGGAAATGGTACAGGCTATGTGGAGGCAGGGGACAAAAATGGAAAACCTATTATGTTATTCCAGGAAAGAATTTATTGGACAAAAATAATGATTATATTCCAGAAAAATTGAAGATATGTAAATTTATTTTTAAAACATATATTTATATGATGTATTTCTAAATCTTACTCACTATGCCTTATGTCTCTGTAGGTTTCCATTGTATCTTGTTCTATGAGCCTTATTTTGGGTATGTAACTGCTCGGCCTCCTTAGATAGCCAAATGCAGTTTACAAAGGAATGTGGTTTGAAATACAACAAAGCAAAACTTATCCTGCTTATTTGGACTCCCACCCAAAATTCAACTGGTTTTATTCTGCACTTTATTTATTGGCATTCCACTAGGAATTATTTATTATTTTACAGAAATGCTTTAATTTTTCACCCCTGTGAATAATCTGTGTTTAACTAACCCAATTCTCCCAGCTATGGTGGGCCAAATAGAGGATGGGATTTTTTTAAAAAAAACTAAAGGTGAAAGAGAATACCAAGCAATGAAAATTTCAGGCAAGTCTTATTATGTGATGTTTGTTTCACTTTTCACAGTTTGAACTGCTGGAATAACTGCATGATTTTAGAGTTGTTAATGGATAATTATGTTTGGATTGCTTATATGACTGCAACCCAAATTCTGTTAACAATCTGAGATATTATTATACAATGTGATAACTGATACTGGAGCATTTGGAGGTATCTATAGAGTTATTAAAAGCTAATTATGTTAATAAGCACACAGAAGTCAGTTTAATTTTGGTGTACAAGACTCTTGAGGAAAACAAAGCAGATATTAAATAAACATTCTGAATAGGAAACCTTCACTGCAGATTGCTGTTTCATTACATGAAATTTAGAAGAAAAGCATTATATAGTGGGTAGCTATTTCATGCTCTTAAAAGCATATAACTTTGGTAAATTAGCTTTATAAATTTTCTGCTTGGGAGAGAATTTAATTGAATGATTACGTGTTCTGATATAATGGAATAAAAAGAGAAGGCAACAAAATTTAAGATTATTAAAATGAATTTTAACCTCAGACAATAGAAACAAATGTGTTATGACTCATAATCCAGTTTGAAGAGATTTTTATCAAGATAGTAAACAATGAATTAATTTCAGATTTAATATCTTGGTACTTTTTTCCACAGGATGACTATAAGGAAAAAAAGACAATTATAATCTGCAGAAATTGAGTCCAAACCTTCATGCAGATAAAATACTGATCACTAATAGGTAAATTAACATCAGTAAAGACATTTCACAAAGTCTCTGGAATAAAAGAAATTAATGGTAAGATTTCTAAATGTCTTTTTATTTCTCTGTTTTTAAACGTTTAAGTATTACCAGGAGCCATGGGGGCATCGTGGTTAAAATGGAGTATTGCAGGCTAACTTTTCCTATTGCCAGGAGTTTGAGCCTGATCAGCTCAAAGTTGACTCAGCCTTCCATTCTTCCAAGGTTGGTAAAATGAAGACCGAGATTGTTGGGGCAATATGCTGACATTGTGAACTGCTCAGAGTCTGCTGGAAAGCATTGTGGAGCATTGTATATAAGTCTAAGTGTTATTGTTATTTTTGAAAATGTGGATAAGTGGTGTTCCACTTTGTTCAAAGAAATGCTGAGATGTCAGAATTCATAGATATGATATGCTGTGTCTTATTTTATGGTCAAATTCTCCTGGATGGAATAAAGTTTGCTTCCTCAATTTAAGCTATCACTTTCCTTCCTTCTGATTGTTGGAAAAAGGGTTTATTAATTGATTCTTACAATGTCTGATTTCTATTTGTTAAAAATATTGTACAATAGGGTAATAATGTATAATACTAATAATAGTATTAAAACTGACTAATACTAAAAATGCTAATGAATACTTAAATTAAAGATAAGTTGTAAATGAAGTTTTATTTTTCTTCTTTTAATAATATACCATTAAAGACATGTCCAGGAAAACATTATTTATTTATTTGTTTATTGATATGCTTTATATGCTGTTTTTTTAGCCTAAAAGCTTGGACAAATAAGAAAAAAATCTATCACACAAAATGCACAGACAAAAGCACAAACACACTTAATAAGCAGCAATTTCTGCAATCAAGATTCCAAGGAAAAGACACAACAATTTTAATTTAGTCTAGATTTCTACTGCTTTTTTTCTAGAAGCACACAGTAAAGCACAATCCACCAATTTTCCAACACCATCACAATCCTACATGGGTAGCAATAAGTTATGACTTGTGTTAGGAATAACATGGTTACCTAACTTAGTTTGGGTAAAATAA